ACGTGGTATCAAAGTTAAAAAGGATATTGGGGGGTTTTACATTGAGCAAATCACATTATGTTGAAAATGTGATAAATAAGTTAAACACTTGAACATTAAAGAGGCCAATACCCCGTTAGATCTAAGTATCAAATTGATAAAAATAATGATGTGAGAGCAATAGCTCAATTAGAATATGTAATTGGAAGTCTTATGTACGCGGCACAATGTACAAGACCTAATGTAGCATTTACCGTGAGTAAACTAAGTAGGTTTACTAGCAATCCAAGTTCCAAACATTGGATGGCCATCAGAAGGGTTCTTGGCCACTTAAAGAAAACCAAAAACCTTGGAATACAATATACAAAGTTCCCTAAAATTTTGGAGGGATATACTGATGCTAGTTGGATATCAAGTGCAAGAGAAAATAAGTCCACTTCAGGTTTGGGTATTTACTCTTAGAGAATGTGCAGTTTCTTGGTAGTCTAAGAACAAACTTGCATTACTCACTCAACAGTGGAGTCGGAATTTGTATCATTGGCCGAAACTGGAAAAGAAGCTGAGTGGTTAAGAGATTTGTTATATGAAATATCTTGAGACATAAATGATATTTCTTCAATACCTATCTTGTGTGATAATCAATCTACTCTTGCTTGAACATATAACGAAGTATATAATGGAAAGTCTTCACACATGAATCCAAGACATAAGTATGTAAGGAAATTAATAAAACATGGAATAATTTCACTTACACATGTTAAGTCCAGTGAGAACTTTGCTGATTTGTTTACTAAACCTCTCATGAGAGATTTAGTAAGATTGACATCAAGTAGGATAGGGTTAAAACTCCTTAATTAAATCCAACAATGAAGCAACCCTACCAAAAATATATTAAACAAGTACATTTAGGTTTAAAGGGTAATAACAAATTATTCGATGAGTAGATGGATTTCAAAACTATTAAATTTATTAAACCCTATCTTTCGTAAATAGCGTTGGTTGTTACTGTTAGAGGGATGGGTTATAATTAAAACTCTTAATGAAATTCAGTACGTGGTACAAGTATCTCTAAAAGTAACAAAGATACTGAAAGAACTTCACATATGTGAATTTCGAGGTGGTACCGCCTTATTAGAGAGTTGGAATTGTCTCTCTTTAAAAGTTCGAAGAAAAAGGATAAGTGCAAAGCCATATTAGCACTGAGCGAGTTAGATGAACTTGTGAAAATTTGACACTCGTGTGTGTTTTCATTGGTATTGTCACAAGAAATAACTTGTCCAAAACGTTCGAACTACCTGAAATTTCGATAATGCCTTATGAGATTTACACCATGATTATATTCAAATTGAAAAATATCTAATTCTTATGCATGAGTGTTGATATTTGATTATGTGATTAACATTGATTTTGAACAAGTAGGGGATTGTTGAAATTTTGTTGTTCAAAATCATGGATGGATGAATCATGGATGAATAAAAAAGGAAAATGACGCCATGAAAATATGCATGAGGTCGCATAGGCGCGATCAGAGAATTCAGAGACAGCCAATGTTTTAACTATGCGACTGCATAGTTATAGCCTATGCAGTCACATAGTTATAAAATTCAACCGTTTACTAAATTTTTTCGAATTTTTTGGTGAATTTTAATTTAATGAAACATTGCACCTTTTCTTTATGAGCTAGAACCATTTCGTGTAGGGATGATTGAAATCTATAAATACATATTGGTGTTCATCCCAAAATATGTGAGAATCCATTCTATTATTCATCCAAATTTTGAAGAAATTGTATTCCTTTTCCATAATCAAATTTTACATTTTCAATGGTTCATTTGAAGATACACTTATTTTTTGGGTTCTTCATTAAAATTTGATATATCCTACAAACTATTTGTCATTTTAAATCCATAAAAGCATAACGAGAAGAGGCAAAAAAACGTTTGAGAACAACAATATATTTTTTCAATCCTTAAAAGCATAACGAGAAGAGGCAAAAAAACGTTTGAGAACAACAATATATTTTCGTTTTCAAGTCTTCTTCGAATATTTTTTCATCTTCCTCTTCTGTTGTTTCCTTTACTGTATTTTATATTTTGCTTACATAATCAATGTCGACATTTTTACACATATACAGAGAGTGAAAAAAAAAGCCACAAAAGTTAAATTCCTTCAGTATCCACAAGGAAAATAATAAGAGAAATTGCACAAGACCAAGAATAAAAAAACAAAAATAGACCTTTTCTACTGCAATTCTGGCAGCCTCTCTCTCTCTCTCTCTCTCTCTCTCTCACGCTGCATCTTCGACTCCGCCTCTGCCTCGTGAAAATTATTGAACCATCTTCAATTTCATTCAAAAACCAGAATAGCTTCACAGTTCACACTAGAGTCTATATAATTAAAATTTTATGCTGGAAAACATGCTTTGTGTCGCATCTATTGATCATCAAGAAAAAAATATAAGATAATAGTACCACAAAAAGGCAAAAATCACACACTAAAAGTTTCACAGGAAGTTGACTTTTTTAACAAAAAAATACGACTATACGCCATAATATTGGAACAAGGATATATGCTTAGATCACTTGCATGCTGCGTCCTTTCAAGCTTTTCCCTTTCTGCCTATTCACATGATTAATCTTCTCATCTTGATGAGAAATCAATAGAAACAGAGATATTATTAAGTCCACAAAACGAACAGAGCTCAACCTCTATGCCAGAATTTCTGCAAGCAATAAAAAATCATTACATGATCCAGGGGAGTGTGATATGTAGCTCTGAAGATAGTATCTGTAAAGCAGGTTTTTAGCATTGCAGCCCGCAAATCAAGATTTAATCCTCTTGTATGAGATGTAACGAGATATTTAACCCCACAATCCTGATGTAAACGGACAGGGTGACGATCAACCAAAAGTTGCACCACATAATAAATAAAAATATTTTGTGCAACGAGAAGAAGTTAAAATTTAGAGGTTTAGAATTACCGAAGTGATCACGAATTGAATTTTTTAGAACTTAGAGCCCGTTTGATTGCAAGGGTGGAAAATAGATGGAAAGAAAATGTTTTACAGGGAAAAGATTTGCCTAGAAAATGTTTTGTAGGGAAAATGATTTCAAGTGTGTTTGATTGGTATAATTTTCCACCCGAAAAATTTTTAAATTTTCTATTCGTTTGACTTT